TTTTCTCAATATGATTATTATGAAGAAATTTAGAGATTAAAGAAGAGATTTTTTCCTCAATCTTTTAGGTAAAGCCATAGAATGAAATCAATAATAAAGATAACTCCGAATGGTGAATTTAATAAGTTGAAACTTAAGAACAGCAGATAGAAGTTTCTACTACCAACCCGCCATCAAATGATAAATTTTATAAGCAAATAACAATAAACAAATAACAAATTTGGAAGGTTTAATAATGACACCTAGATAATTCCAAGAAAAATTTTTAAAGGCAAAACTACATAAAAATGAGATAATATGTTGAGTAGAAACATCCACTGATTTAGAAAAAAATAATAGCAGACTTTGAAGCATTAAAATTTAGACTGAAAGCTTTACTAAAGCTATCAAACATATTGTTAAAGAAAGTAATAACATGAATATCAGCTATGCCAAAAATCAAAATATCATCAACATAGAATAAATGAAAAACTTTCAAACAATTCCTGATAGAATTCTATTCTATCATAACAAATAAAGAAGAAAGATAACATCCTTGCCTCGAACTGCAGGAAGTAGAAAAAAATCTTCTTAACTCATTATTTTTTATGACAGAAAATCAACAATGCAAACATATATCTATTTAATAAAAAATGGGAGGAAATCCAAGCATTTTCATCCTTCAATAAGAAGTTTCTATTAACATTATAAAAAAATTTAGAAATACATACTTCAGCACAAAATTACCCAGAAGATTATTAAAATTAAAATCGTAAAGCAATTCATCAGCAATGAGGATATTATTAACAATAACATGACCTTTTATAAAGGAAGCTTTGGTTGAATTAATAATACTTAGGAGAATACCTTAAGCTTAGTAGCTAAAAGTAAAATGTTTATTTTATAAATGGCATTACATAAAGATATAGGTCGAAAACCAATAAAAGATCTACAATAGATTTTTTTTTTGAATGACAACAATAACAATATGTTTAATTCTATAAGGCAATTTTGCATAATGAAAAAAATAATTAATAACTTTAATACAACTAGCCTCAATGATTTGCTAAGATTTTTTTAAAAATTTAGAAGTAAACCCATCCGACTCAAGAGCCTTATGAGATCCAATAGAGAATAAAACATACTTGATATTGTTTTTCGAAAAAGAATGAGTTTAAAAGAACAAATATTCTTTGGAAATATGATTACTAATAGGAAAAACATCATCTGTAATAACAACATTCTCATAATGATCATCAAGAAAACAAGAGCAAAAAAAAAAAAAAGACGGCTTCATAAACAGTATCATCTTGATTATGAATATAACATTATCAACCAAAATTTCCGTAATAAAGTTAGAGTTATGTCTAACTTTAGCTCTTTGATGGAGAGATTTTATGTCATCCTCAACTTTAGATAACCAACAGAAATTGACTCTTTGTTTAACACATTTATAATTATAAATGACAGCATTATAAATACATTTTTGTGTTAGAGGCTTGAGCAAGAAGATTATTAGATAGAGGTGAAATATCAAGTTGAGAAAGATTGAAATTGTGCTTCTCCTTAAACTCAGAAATATATTTAGATAACACTTGACAAGAATTTCAATAGCCTTTGAGAGTATACTTAACATTTGGAATTTTATTGGGAAGCAAAAAAATAGGATTCCCTTTAGATAGTAACAACTTGATTAAAATTAGAACAAATGGTCCAAAAGCTTTTAAACAAAAATCTACAATGTAAATTTGTCCTCTTTCTAAAAAAAACCAAAATAGTTTAAATCTTCAATAGCCTTTGAGAGTATACTTAACATTTGGAATTTTATTGGGAAGCGAAAAAATAGGATTCCCTTTAGATAGTAACAACTTGATTAAAATTAGAACAAATGGTCCAAAAGCTTTTAAACATAAATCTACAATGTAAATTTGTCCTCTTTCTAAAAAAAACCAAAATAGTTTAAGGATAAGAAGAATAAGCACTTAAAAGTTAAAAAGAGGAGTCAAGAAAAACAATAATCCAAAAAGGCATTACAAAAGCTCTATCTAAAAAGATATTTAATAGAATTATTAAGTTAGTTATTAATCTAACTAAAAGAAACTTAGAATTCTAAAGTTCAAAAAATCCATCATTAGAACTTTAATTATTAACGCCATAAAGTTTGATAGGAAGAGGGGGAGAACCACCCACCTTCTCATTAATACTTCAAATGCAATTAAAATCATCAAGAATAATCCAAGGGCAACAATATAGACAATAAAATCCTAATGATTCCTTCTATTAAAAGTACTATTATTAGCATAAACAACAATAACAAAGAGTTTAAGAGATGAATAAAAAATGATTTGATCATAAATAAATTGATGATTATAATTAATAATAGAAAAAAGTAAAATATCATGATTCCACTTAATCCTAATCCTTCCATTATCAGAAACAATAAACTTATCAATGCACCCTTCATTTGAAAAAAAGTTTAAATTGCTTTAAAGCATTAACATCAGAAAGAGTAATAGAGGATAATTTAGTTTCCAAAAGATCAAAAATTAATTTTATGTTCTTTCAAAAGATTTTTGCAATCCATATTCTGAGCTTCACTATTAAGCCGACATACATTTCAATCAGCCAATTTTAGCTAAAACATTATTAATTTAAGAAAATAGAAACAATGACAGCTAGAAGAAGATCATTTATATCTACCTTTCTTAGCCCTTAAAGAAACATGATTAGAAGAAGATAAAACACTTCTAGCATGAGCCATAATAGAATTATTACTAACACCAACATGATTAGTATTTGAAGAATTACCAACAACAACCTGCATAACATTAGAAGAATTACCAACAACACCCTGAATGGCATTAGATACATTTTTCAAAGAATAATTAGAAGTATTTCCAACAATAAAAGTATTATTCATAAAAACATCAACATCGAAATTAATATCAGGATGAGCAACATTTGATAAACCAGCCGATTGAGAATTTATATTATTAGCAATAACATTATATACAATCATATTAGAATTGCCATTTAAATATGAATTAACCTCTATAACAAGTGGTAAAACAATAGTAGTGTATGCTGAAGACTCATTACTAAAAGAAAGAGTAATAACAAGGATATTAAGATTATGGGCAATCACAGGATGATCAACATGTTTTCAATTTTGTTGAAAAGATCTATTAGTAATCACAAATTTACTACAATTTCTCTAATTGCTAAAATAATTAAAATCACTATTAATAATTTTTCCCCTATTAGTAGGAATAACGACAATTTCTTTATAAGAAGGTTATTTAGAGCAATTTGAAGGACTATGAGCAAAAGTGGAGCATGTCCTTTAAGGTATATTTTTCCATTGGTAAATAATAGGAATAATAATATACTAACCTTTAGCTACAAGAGTAACATAAACTTCTAAAGAAAAAATTTAGATTAACTTGGTATTAATTAATCCTAACAATGGTCAAACGACAACCTTTATCAGTCAACTCATCCACAACTAATAGAATTTCAATCTTGTCACTTTTGAAAGACCACATTTCGACCAACAAAACAGATGAAGAACAAAAAAATTAAACTAAGAAAGGAGTTACTTAAAATCATCTCTGACTGGACAAAAATCATAAGATCATTTCTAAAAATGGAATGAGTTACTCCTAATAAACTAAGGCCCACCCACAAGAACCACTCATAATCCTTAACACAATTAAATTTAAACAGAAAGAAAACCCTCAGTAAGGGAAAAAAACTCAACCGAGCTTTTTAGTTTCATCAACTTACCAATAGCTTGAAGGAGATAACCATAAAGAGGCCTTTTACCCAGACCTTTTCCAACCAAAGTAAGATTCAATTGTTTAAAACCTTCTTCAACCTAAGATTCAGAGAAAAAGATTTTCTCATATGTATATGGAACATAAGATAAAAATAAAACCTGAGGAGCTTGAAAGATTAGAAGAAATTAATCCTTTCCAACTCAAATGTAGACTGAATCCAAGGATATAACGAGGAGAGGTATTGGGGGTATAATCATTTTTGAATCACCTGCTCCTCACAAATGTTCTCCTTAAATTGAGAATTTGTATTTAATGAAACATCTTGAAATGAGATATTAGAATTGCAAGATGATTAAAATAAATGACTCTGACAATTATGATTTTAAAACATAGACTGTCAAATGCTTAAATATATAAATGACTAAGACACATTAAATTATTTTGATTGATGGAATATCTGAAATGAAGTCAATTTTATTAAGTAAAATCTCAAAATTACTTTAAATTAGAAATTAAAAAAAAAAATTGACTGAAATATTTACAATCAATTGCAAAAAATAAAATAAAATCAATTGCATGAACAAGTTTTAACAGATGAAATACATGTGAATCATACTTTCATTTAGAAACCAATTAATTTTCATGTTCTAAAAAAAAAATATTATTACCATTATTGGAAAAGATGAATCCAGAAAACAATTTTCTTAAACAGAATTAAATTATTTTATTATCTTTATGAGCTCTTACTAATACTTACTAATCCAATTAGAAAGAAAATGAGAAGAGAAAATCTTTCTCAGTACAATAAAATTAAGGGTCCGTTTGGGGCAGCTTGTGCGTTTCAGGATAAACTGCTTATCCTGAAATGCGGCCTGCAGGCCGGCAGCGGGGGTCGAACAGCAGCCTGCGTTTAGTGTAAAAACCACCCCAAACACAGTTTGGGATAAGCTGACGAAACGCGCGAACCAAACGGTACGGCGGCGTTTTCATATAAGCTGCCCCTAAGCCACAATTTCAAAGCACAAAAACACATAAAGTTCCACGATTTTTTTTTTGAGATATTTACATTCATACCATGCAATTTCTATGTAATATAACAATTAAACTTCGATATTTACTTGAATTAAATCCAGATATTTAACGTCACTAGTCTTAAATTTTCTAAATTATGAAATGACACAAAAACAAATATCAAAGTTAAACTTTAAGATATATAAATAAGCATTAAATTGCTCAATCTAAAGTGATTTACATATACACCACACAATTTTTATGCATTTAGATATAGGACCTACATCATATGGTATAATTTCATATGCATTGCACACACATAACATTTATAATCATAAAAAGATATTAATGATTTTCTTTTAGTAACATTATCAACTAATCAACTCACAATTTTGTTGAGTGCAAAGCAATCTTCCTCTCAAGCCCCATTTTATCAGCTCCAACAATCTTATCAATCTCTTTACCATCTTTCACAAAGAAGAAAGTAGGAACACTGCTCACATTCCAACGGTGTGCAACGTCGCGAACTTCATCAATATCGAGCTTGAGGAAGACGACCTTGTGGTGCTGCTCTGCCAGGCTCTTGTAGACTGGTGCTATCGACCGACATGGTCCGCACCATGTTGCTGTGAAGTAAAGAATGGACAACCTCGATAGTTTTGAGGCAGCCTTGAGCTTCGTCTCGAGCTCGGTCAACAAGCGAATAGTCAGAACATTACCTGCATGTCGACGAAAGAAAAGAGTGTGATAATGTGATAGTTTCTTTTTTCTGATTATTTGAATAATTTAATACAACGTGATTTATAGACAAATCTAGGAAGAAACACGAAAACTATAGTAAACAAGAGTAAAAAAAATATTTATAATTGTGTATATATATAATAATAAGTTTAGTTTAAATATATACATCCAGTTTTAAATTCAGAGTAAATATGTTTTTCAAGCGCAAATCCTATGCTGGATTTGCTTTCTTAGCATTATCACTGGATTTCCTTCTATAAAACCAATAAGTTCAAAAGCTACATATCTAACACCTAAACTTTACTTTTTACATTTATACCACCCAAATCTTTCCTGTCACATCAAAAATACCACTTTAATTTCGAAAAAAATGAAATACATTTTTTCATGCACAGTTGCAGGGGCAGCATGTAAAAATTGAACTCTAGGTGCTAGATATGTAAATAGATAGGAATTCAGTGGTATGTATGTAGATCTCCCACAAAAGAAAAAAATGTATGCTCAGCTTGAGATGATTTCAGGAAATATTTCTCCATTTGAGTATTTAGTAAAAATATTTATTGATTGACTTTCTCAGAGCTTAGTAAACATCCATACTATACCTTGTTCTAACTTATCCTTGTCTGTCAACCTCAATAAATTTTATTTGATCATTTTATACCATATTATACATAATATTTATTGCTGACTTGTCACAATCTAAAATGATATTTTACCATAATAATTAGCAAATTCATTGGACAATGTTCCAAAATTCTAATGCAGTATAGAATCAAGTCACCACAATTTTTGTTAGTTTGTATAATTTGCATTTTTTAGGCTTCTAGCGTAAATTCATTATTATTTTTGAATAAAATTTCTTAGAATGGATTACCTTTAATGTACTGAAGTATATGATAGATAGCTCGTAGGCGTGGTTCGGTTGAATCAAACAGGAAAGGTTGATCAAGCCGAAAAGGAATGCAACGTAGATAAGTTTTACTACTAGTCTCGAATACATTTCCTTGTCAATGAATGGTTCTTCTTTTGTTTCCTCCAGTTTATGATTTAGGGCAATAGGTGTTACAACTAGTTTGCAACCTAGTTCTATAATTTCATTCAAGAGTTCTATTAAATATTTTTGTAGAAAGATGAAGAAGAGTTTGTTTGGGGCAGCTGCAGCTGTTTGAAAAATCTGCTGCTAAAAAAAATCTATTAAAAAAAAAAAAAAAAAGTCATACCGTAGTTTTATAGCAGCCACTGCAAGTAATCAGGTCAGATGGGAAAATACAGTTTTTTGAGAACACAGATAAAATACAATTTCTCCAAATAAAAAAAAAAACTTCGTTGAGACACCACACGGCTATCGCACCACAGCCTCAAACGCACCCGAAATCTTACTCTAAGCTCCTTTATCTCATATACCTTGATAAAATATTGTAGTAGATTTCGCTTATTGTCCTCATTGTTTTGATGCTGCTTCCCTTGTGGAATAGAATGTTTGATAAATAAAGAATGATCTTCTTGACTTTTTCTTTACCAAATTCATATAAATTTATAAACTTATTATATTATATTTAAATTTGTAAGTAGAAATTCAAACCGAAATGAAATCCATGAATTCTAGATCATAATGGAGGAAACCTAACTATTGCTCCGTATTAAGAACTAATAATTAAGCATAACTTTTTTGTACTTGGCTCTTTTAACACTGGTTTGCGGCAAGATTTGTGCTCTGATGGCCTATAAATGAAGCGTAGAGCCTATAAATAAACACAATTCATTCATATCCATTAAAGCCGTGACCAAAAAGAAAGAAGAAAATAAGAGTAACAACTATCATGATATGTTTGCATAAAAACAGGAAATAATTTGCAATATAAGCCAGAAGATGTATAACCAAGAACTCTAAATTATCATATTAGTTGAATAACCAAAAATACCACTTGGCTTAACTCCTCCGCAGTAATATCATGTATCTATATGGTGATGGCTGTAAAGAATTACTTAAATTAGAATGAAAAGAAACTTAGATACTGAAATCCATACCATCTTGCAAGACAGAGAGATATTCCGATTCGGCCTTACGATTCTGCTCATAAAAAAATAAAAAAAAACCATAAAAAGAATATGATAGAATGAGTAAAATGTGATATGATAATGTAAGTTATAAAATAAGGACATAGGGTGCAAGAGTCCAGTAATAAGTGACAAATAGAAGTACTTTATTTTCTATTCAAATTATCTCACGGAAATTTACATACATACCGCACAATTCCTCATGTACTTCACTTTTAAAAAGTTAGTACTAGTGAAATTTTTGATGTAATTTTAAAGATTAGAGTGTTATATATGTTATGAATGTTTTGGTGTGAGATATGTAAATATATAAGAATTGTGTGGTATGTATGTAAATGACCTTTATCTTATATTTGCAGCCTATATGGGTGCAAAAGAAGTTAAAAGAGATAAAAGACAGAAGTGAGTTAAAGCAGCTACCGCAGCTTCATCACGCTGATGACGTCTTTTAGCTTTCCTTCGCTCTCTCTCGTTCTTCAAATGCTCGTATTTTTTGCGGTGCTCTTCAACTTTCTGTAAATTAGGCTCAACCTAAAATACCAGCATTTCAAAATGCTCAACAAGATTGGGTATAAGTTTCAAATCTCTAATATTTGTCTTAAAAACAATTAAAGCTTGATTTTTTTTTGCTTTTATTGGGAGAATTGAATGCTACCATTTTCAGCACTGAGTAGATCTCCTCATCATGATCCAGTTTCGACGCCATACGTAGATCACTCACGGCCTCCTGCCAGTTTCCCATTAGTGCTTTCGCCATCCCTCGAGATTTATATCCTTTTGCTGAATCCGAATTTATCTAAAGTCAATTGGATCAAATTACTATAAGACTAAGAAAATACAGGCGATGTCATCCAATAAGAGAAAAAGTGTTAAAATGGTCTCTTGAATTTTGCAGAGAGCCTTTTTAGTCCCAGAGTTTATAAAAATCTTAATTTAGTCCCCACACTTTTTTAATTGAAGGCAGAAATAGTCTGGCACTTTTAGAGATCTCAGGACTAAAATTACCCCATGTAAATAGTAAAGGAATAATTTTGACATTTCACTCCATCTAATAATAAAAAGAGCAATCGTTAAATAGGCTAGAAATAACGAAACTAACCTGCAAAGCTGCATCCGCATCTCGAATGGCTGCATTTGGCTTGCGCATCTTCACAAAAACACTAGCTGAAAAGAACAAAATTTGCTGCAATAAGTCAACTAATCAACATAATTACGAAGCTTTTCAGCAGCTTTACCTCTAGTTGCATACAAAATAGCCGAAGTCGGATTAAGCATAATAGCTTCGGTTAGATGCTCAATTGCATCTTCATGTTTGCCTAAAATACATAGAATTCAATCAATAAACTTAAGTAAACGACTTCAACAAGTTTTGATATCAGAAGAATTACAGAACCAACCCTCAGATATTGCATCCACCGCTTTCGCCTTGGAGATTTGTGCTGCATCACGGTTCTCTTCAGTAACTTCGACTGAGGGATCCCCCATCTATCAACAAATTCCGAGAAGCTAAATTGGTATTTCATACTAGAAATGGGTTTTCTACTAAAAAAGCAAATTTGGAAAACCTTTTGTGGGGAATCATTATCGGGTTCAACAACTTCGCCTTCCAACTCAATATCCGATTCAACAATTTCATCATCGTGGTTGTCATCATCATCAACTTCATTCCTTGGTTTAGGATTATTACTGTCAACAAATTCAGCATTTGGCATAGTACCCATTTCTTGTTTCGCATCACTTTTCTACATGGTTGGTAAGGAAACACCACATCATAATACTTCATTTAAAAATTTACATACACGCAACACAATTCTTTTGTATTTACATATCAACCTAAAGTTCCATATTTACATTTATAACACGTTTGCATTATAAATCTATCCGTAGGAAGGTATATTTCACTTATAAAATGTTAGTAATAGTGGTATTTTTAATGTAATGTTAATGATTTGAGTGGTATGCAAGTAAATATCAAAGTTAAGGTGTTAGATATGTAAATATATAAGAATTGTGTGGTATATATGTAAATGCGCCAAATTCATAATAGACTGCTCTACACAAATAAAGTCATAATCGCTGAATTGATTAGCCGTCAATTTTAGCAAAGATTTAAAAATTTTTGTGGCAAAATCTGCAGCAAGTTGATGTGCTCGTCACATAATAATTATCACATGTCGATAAGGAGTTGCAATGCATATCAAGATAAGTAATGGAGTTGTGCTATGCAGTCGCGCACAAAAAAAATGTTAGTGGGCAGCAAGCAAAATGAAATGAAATTTAAGAGTGAATGTGGATGCGTGTTTGGGTGCAACTAGGGCGGTAATCAAGCTGTGAGCTGAGTCAAGTATGCTATGGTATGACTTGGTTGAATCGAAATTGTTCATGCTTAGTTTGAGCTTCATGCAAGCTTTTCCATATATACTTATACTTGACATGCTACAAAATTTTAATGTCCAAACTTGATTCGTATTTGGCTTGTTTATATTAATTAAAATTCAAATGAATATTTATTTTTCATATAAAATTAAAAATTTAAATGAATATTTATTTTTTGATATAAAATGAATATTCATTTTTACCATCGCATTAGTCAAAAAGAACTTAAGGAGGCTTTAAAGAAAACTAAAGGTGGAAAGTTGTATGACCTGATGATATCCCAATTAAAGTGTAGAATTATTTATGAGATTTGGGAGTTTCTTGGCTTACTAAACTCTTTAATATTATTTTAATAACTAAAACATGCATGAGGAGTGGAGGAATAGTATTTTGGTCATTTTTAAGAATAAAGGTGCACAAAAGTGTGCGAATTATAGAGGAATTAAGTTGATGTGCTATACTTTTAAATTATGGGAAAGGATAATTGACCATAGGTTAAGACGTATTACAAAAATTTGTCATTACCAATTTGGATTTATGTCGGGCAGGTCTACTATGAAAGCTATACATTTATTGATAGGTTTCATGGAGAAGTTCAGAGATAATAAATTGGGTCTATATTTTATTTTTATTGATATAGAAAAAGCTTACGATAAGGTTTCAAGAGAAATCTTTTAGAGAGTTCTTAAGAAGAAAGATGTTGATATGACTTATATTCAAATCATTAAAGATATGTATAAAAAATGATCTTAATTTCTTAAAACTAAATGAAAGTATGACACTAAATAGGACACAATGGTGAAAAAGGATTCATGTAGCCAACCACACGTACAACAACAACAACAACAAAGCCTTAATCCCACTAAGTGGGGTCGACAACATGAATCCTTCTTCTCCATTGCGTCTTATTTAGTGTCATATTTTCATTTAATTCTAATAAATTAAGATAATTTTTTTTATACAATATGCCCAAGTCTTCCTAGGTCTACCTCTAGCTTTCTTAACACAAGTCGAATCTAAAACATTTACTCTCCTAATCGGATCACCAGATGGTTGACGTTTAATTTGACCAAACCATCTAAGACACTCACTCTAATTTTGTCCGTCACTAGAGCTACACCAACCCTATCATGGATATATTCATTTCTCATTTTGTCTCTAAATGTAAAGCCACTCATCCACCTAATCATACTCCTCTCGCCAACACTTAAACTTAGTATTATGGTTCTCTTTTAAAGGCCAACATTCAACGCCATAGAGCATTGTAGGTCTCACCATCTTATAAAATTTTCCTTTTAGTCTAAGCGGGTACTTTTCTATCACCCGAAGCATTCCTCCACTTCAACAACCCAACTTAAATTTTACTATTAACATCCCCATCTATATCACCATCGCTTTGAACAACAAACCCGAAATGCCTAAAAAGTTCACACCTTTTAATAATTTGATCATCCAAAGTTACATTTCTGTCATTAGAGCTATTACTACTAAAATTACATTCCATGTATTCAGTTTTAGTTCTACTCAAACGAAGGTCTTTAGACTCCAATGTAGACCTCCATAATTCATGTTTTTCCTGGGCTTTTTCTCAAGTCTTATCCACAAGAAGGATATCATCAACAAAAACATACACAAAGGTACATCCTCCTGTAAATGTCCAGTAAAACCATCCATAACTAAAGCAACAAGATATGAGATTAAAGCCAATTCCTAGTGTAATCCAACAGAAATAGGAAAATATTTGGTCGATCCTCCTTCAGTTCGAACACAAGTAACAACTCTAATATACATATCTTCAATGACTAGAATATAAGTCACATCAACACCTTTCTTCTCAAGAACTCTCCAAAGAATTTATTGGAATCTTATCATAAGCTTTTTCTAAATCAATAAAAATCAAATGTAGATACTCCTTTCTCCATCAAACCTTTGAATAAATGTATAGTTTCCATAGTAGACCTGCCTAACATAAATCCAAATTGATTATGAAAAATCTTTATAATACGTTTTAACCTATGTTCAATTACCCTCTCCCATAATTTTAAAGTATACACATCAACTTAATTCATCTATAATTTGCACATTCTTGTGCATGTCCTTTATTCTTAAAACTGGAAACCAAAATACTCTTCCTCCACTCCTCAAACATCATTTAGTTATTAAAATAATATTAAAAAGTTTAATAAGCCAAGACACTCTCAAATCTTTTAAATATTTTCACACTTCAATTGGGATATCATCAGGTCCTACAAACTTTCCCCTCTTAGTTTTCTTTAAAGCCTTCTCAACTTCTTTTTAACTAATGCGATGATAAAAATAAAACATTTTAGTATTATTAATGATATTATGATCACTAAGATCGATCGTATTTTCAGAAAATTCATTAAAAAGTTTATCAAAATAACTCAATCACCTATGTTGAATATCTTTTTCTAAGCAAAACACTTTTTCATTTTCATCTTTAATACACTTTACTTGATTTAAATCTTTAGTTTTCTTTTCTATTTGTTTGACTAGTTTATACATATATTTTTCACCATCCTTATTATCTAATGTATTATAAATATCACTAAAAGCCAAATTTCTAGCATCATAGATTGTTCTTTTAGACTCCATGCGAGCCATATGATATTTTTCCCAGTTCACTAAGCTATTACATTTAAACCAATTTTTATAACATAACTTCTTATATTTTTTCTTTTTTTGCAAATTATTATTCCACCACCGACTATTTTCATTCATAGAAACTTTTTCTTTTGATTCTCCAAGTACATCTTTTGTCACTTGTTTAATAGTGTTACTTACTTTATCCTACATAACATTTGCTTCTTCATGAACATCCCAAATTTTGACATCATGAATTTTACTCATAAAAATAATTTTATTTGCTTTTTAGGTACCTGCATCTAATTCTACAATGATAAATCTAGTATTCTTAATTTTACAACTCTTATCTCAAAATCATGAACTAATAATCGATGTTGGGCACTTAACACACTTGGAATGACCTTACAATCTTTACAATCTCGATGATCTCTTCTTCTCATAAGAAAATAATCAATTTGTGTATTTTTGTGTTTTATTAGATCTATTCTTATAAGTAATAAGATGTTCATCTCTTTTCTTGAATAAAATATTAGTAATAACAAAATCATACGCTAAAGCAAAATCTAATAAGACTCAACCTTCTTCATTAATAACTCCAAAATCATAGCCACCATGAATATTTCTAAAATCTTCTACCACTATACCGACATGTCCATTCAAATCTCAAATAAAAATTCTTTCTTTAAAAGGTATCATTTGTATTAAGTCTTTTAAGACATTCAAGAATTTATTTTTAGAACCTATATCTAAACCTATTTAGGAGCATAAGCACTTACAATATTAAAAATCTTAATATCAATAATAATATTAAGGGTAATAATTTTTTCTCCAACTCTATTAATTTTTACAACATTATCTTTCAAACTCTTATCTATTATTACACCAACACCATTTCTAGTGCTACTCTTACCAGAATATCAAAGTTTAAAACCTAAATTATCAATCTCCTTAGCCTTTTCTTCAACCCATTTAGTTTCTTTATATATAAGAGATTTATCTTTCTATAAATCATAATATCAACTAATTCCATTAATTTACCATTGAAAGCACCTATATTCCAAGATCCTATCTTAATATTAGTTTCATGAACTAGCTTCTTTACCTGCAACCATCCGTAATGTGGGAACTCTTGCTTATTTGACACTACACCCAGGTGCCGGTGTAATGACCCTTGCACACTTTTCACTATATTCAAGCCATACAACGCTTCACGTCTAGGGGACGCCCTAACCCTTATACAATGATAAAAAATATTCATATCATGATTTTTTTCGACAAAGTTTACGCTGACTGTCGATTACCTAACGCAATCCTCCATTTTTCACATCCGGGCTTGGGACCGATAATGACACATGATTTTTCATATGTGCATTTTATTTTTTATAAAAAAGTTATTAACAAATAATTTTATGAATATAAATAAATAAGTAATTGAATATATTTCAAATTAATATCTAACTAATTTAGACCAATAAAAAAAATAATATATAAATTGCATGATAGTTTTTTGTAATCAAATAACATAAATAAGTACTAATAAACTAGTTTATTGGAATAAAAAAATAATATATATATATATATTAAATTAAAATGCATATTTATTTTAAATTATAATAAGTTACTATTAAATATATTATTAAATAAGATATAATTAATCAATTTTATTTAAATAATATATCATATAGGTATGTAACATTTAACAACTTGTTGAACAATAAACGAGTTTGTTCATGAACATTAACAAACGAGTTGTACTATATTTAAATTTGGGTCATTTAAGCTTTGAATTTTTAAAAAATATTCAAACTTGTTTATTGTAATAAACATGATCAAGAATGGAGTTCAAGTTGCTCATCAAGTGCATTGGTTCATTTATACTCCTAGGTACAACAAATAAGTGAACAAGCAACGAATTGCATGTGGCATATATGGGTGATGCAACATTGATGAGGATTTTAATGAAACTTAGGGATGGTAAAAGCAAGGGGTGTAAACGAATCAAGTTGAGCTCAAGCCGCCCTCAGCTTGAGATTGAGCTTGAGCTTGATATTAATCGTGTTCGAACTTGAGCTTAGTTTTACAAGTTCAAACAGGCTCACAAGTCGACTTGTTTATCATGAAAGAGAAAAAATAATATTGATTTAAACTAGTACTAAAAAAATGATAAAAAGAATAAGCAAAAAAGAGGAAATTAATACAAAATTACTCGATATAAAATATAGAATATTATTTTTAAGATATTTTTAATAATTTAGAAATAAAGCTTGAAAATATAAAATATAGAATATTATTTTTAAGATATTTTTAATAATTTAGAGATAAAGCTTGAAACTTTAAAATAGTTTGAGAATGTTTTATATTAATTATTTTTTAAGAGAATTGGATCTTGAGCTAATAAGTTGAGTCGGAGTTGCCTTGAGCTTGGCTTATGACCTCGTTGAGCCCAACTTACGAGTAACTTACTGAGTCGAGCATAGTTTGGCACATAATTTGGCTTTGCTTAGCTACACCCAAACTAAGCCAAAATAAATTTTAGGACATTCACTCAGAAAGCAAACAATGGAAGCGATAAGAATAAAACTCTACAAATGTAGTTTCAAAAGGGTTGAAAACTTCACCAAATCAACTCCTCGTAGCATGACTTAACTCATGTTAGTTGACCTATGAAACACATGAGTTGTACCGTCTAACTTGGTTGAATAATCAACCAAGATGTCCTAAAACATCTATTTTTTATGCATCTTGTAAAGGAAGACAAAGTACACACAACAAGTCACCTAAAAGCTATCTAATAACCAACAAAGCTCAAGCTTTGAGAGCATATCCAATTAATTATATCCAATTACGACATCATTGAGGTCTTTGTGCTAATACATTAGGCATTCAACTAGGAAAATCTATGATGATCAATACTGTATAAGAGCATTTACAAACCTACGACACAATTCTTATGTATTTACATATCTAACACCTAAAATTTCGTATTTACATTTATAACACTCAAAAGTTAACATCACATCAAAAGTATAATCATTATTAACTTTAAAAATGTAAAATGCACCTTTTTCATGCATTGGTTCATGACACCAAAATGTTATAAGTGTAAATATCAAACTTTAGGCATTAGATGTACAAATACGTAAGAATGGTGTGGTATCTACGTGACCTACACTAGAATATTAAAGTATGTAATGTATGACATATGATGAACATGTCTTATCCTTCAAGTGTCACACAAGCTATTGGTACGTCTGATTAAAAATAATAACAAATCAATTTGCACCACATCAACTCACTTTTCTTTTAATATCATATAAGAAGAAATGACAGATGTAAGAAGTCGCCCTAAATTTATCTACAAAGCAACAATGACCAATTGCCAACCATAGGTTATATCAAGTCAATTTTATTGCACCAACAACATCCTCATCATCAAGACCTCTATGTTTATAAATAATGCATCCAACCAAGTAAACCGATGATCCATTAACTCTTTGTCATACAAAAGCAATCAGTGTTCAACATACTTCAAGGAGCTGCAGATATACAATCAATGTGCCTGATTAGAAAATAATAAATAAATAAATGATGAAAGATTTACTACATACAATTTAATTTCTATGTATTTATATATCTAACACCTAAACTTTAATATTTACCTATATGCCACCTTATTTATGCATGAAAAGGTATATATATTCACTTTTTAAAATTTAAAAAGGAGGTATTTTTTATGTGATATGAAAGATTTAAATGTTATACATGTAAATAATAAAGTTTAGATACTAGATATGTATATAAATGTCCCATAAATGATATGTATATCAGACATGCGTATCATGGGTTAACTGAAATAATAATGATAAAATGCCAAGCTATGAAGGATTAATAGACTAAAAAGCCATATTTTAAAAATAGATAACTAATATATGCCAGTGACAAATAACCAAACTCCGAGTTCTTCCCTCTATCTAAAACTCCATATCTTTCAGTAACCGAGGATTACTTCTGCCAACACTCAAATTTCCATTTGAAGCAATGGAACCGCAAAATTCTCCGCTCAACAGCCACCCAAAGAAAATCAAACAGAGAAACTAACAAACACATTCATAATAAATTAAAAATATGGGTAATAAAAAAAAAACAAAATAAACAAAAGAGCAAAACTTCCATCGTAAACAAGAACAAAGAGAAATGAGAGAATCTCTAACCGAAGCAGACTTGAAAGGAATCCGAGCGCCGATGCTGAGAACCCCAAAAAAAAAAAAAAACCAAAACAATCTTTAGCGATTATTGAAGTTCTCCATGATAGCAACGACACTCAATCGATTCAAGGGGGTGAAAAAAAGAGAGAAACAAAACCTGTCGAGGTAGTCTCGGAAAAACCCTAGCGAAGGATCGTGAAGAAAAGACGGATCAGATTTGCAGTGGCTGACGAAAGCCCTCAGCTGCGCTACTTTTGTTGCGTCCATCACACCTATCTCCCTCTCCCTCCCACGCCCACCGAAGGATGCCCTTACAGCGTGAAGCTTCCCGGCAAAATGGGATTCGGATTTTTATTTTTATAGTTTCTGCAAGCTAGCGGAAAGCAAATTGCGGTGCATCACGGGCTGAAGAATTATTCCAACTTAAGGACGTGCGTAGCACAATAAAACTATTGCCAGCTGTAATTGGTCCCACCTTTTATTTCAAAATAAATTTAAAATAAATAGTAATTTTAATTTTCTTACGGTCCGACCCGATGATTAACCCGAACTCTTTTTTACTTTTCCCGAATCACATTTTAACTTTCTACACACAGTTACGAGAGTTTAGGGCCTACTCTTCCTTGGCGAAAATCTCCTGCGCAACGCATCCTCTGGCGAAACCCTTCAGCAAAACGCAGCTTCCGGCGGAAGCGAAGGTCATGGCGTCGACTCGTTCGATAAAATCACGATATGCACCTAAACCAGAGTCGGGAAATACGAGTAATACATCATTAACACAATAATAACACAACAATACCACGTCAATAGCATCACACATCAGTAATATACCAGTACTACATCAAAAACACAACAATAACACGGCAATATCATATGAATAACACATTATGGATTTGAATCATTAGCACAGAAAAAACTCTACTCTATAACTGCATAAAACTAAATTCGTTTGACTCACAGATACCTCCATGACATAGTTTAGATGTGTTATTATTGTATTATTTGTGTTTTATTCATCTATTTTTTTTCTGTGTTTTAACTGTGTTACTGTTGTGTTACTGATGCGTTATTACTGTGTTATTCATGTAATATTGATGTCATATGCTTCTGTTTAGAGTGATTATTAATTAATGACATAGGTTTAGTGTTATTCTTGTATTATTCATGTATTATTAATGTGTTATTCTACTGTGTTATTCTACACATTGACTGTATTACTGACGTGTTACTCATGCGTTATTTCTGTGTTATTTGCGTATTATTGATAGGTTTAGGGTTATTATTAATTAATGTCATAAGTTTGCTTTAGGGTTTAGCATTGCTCCTCTGTTATTCGTGTATTACTTTCCTCTATTTTTACTGTATTACTGGTATGTTACTCGTGTGTTATTGTCATGTTATTCATGTATTATTGATGTGTTTAGGGGTATTATTAATTAAGTGTGTTTCATGTACTACTCCTGTGTTAGAGGTGTGTAATTAGTTATGCTTTTGTATTATCCATGCTCCTATTTAGGGTTATTATTCTCTTATGTCGGTATGTTACTCATGTTTTATTCCCTTCTTCTGACTGTTATTCTGATAATTTGTCATTATTTCTTTAATTTGCATGATCATGAGTGCAAGGAATTTCAACTGTAGATGTCGTCCATATGCAGTGAGAGGTGCCCTGGATGCAATTCGTGATCTTCCTTCATAGGAGACCATTAATAATTTAAGGGAAATTAGGGTGTTCAACTTCTTTGACATGTCCCCATATCCCCAGGACAATGTCATGACTTTACATATTTTGAGATGCTGGGATAATGAGAGGGGTGTCTTCAAAATGGGTGGAAAGGAGGTTAAGTTACATGCTGACCACGTGGCTCTGTTGATAGGGATGCCGAACAGAGGAGAG